GTTTTCTGTTCGAGACAGGGCGCGCGTGAGCCGCGGCGCTCGCGCGGCGGCCCATTGCCATTCGCGCATTGTGCGCTTCCTTTCAAGATGCGCGTGGGCCGCCGCGCGCGCGGCAGCCCACTGGTTTTCGCGCATTGCGTTTTTCCATGCAAGACGCGCGTGGGCCGCCGCGCGCGCGGCGGCCCTGGCCCCTCGCGCATTTTGCGTTTGACATGCAAGATGCGCGTTGGCAGCCGCGCGCGCGGCGGCCTCAGCTCCTCGCGCAAGGTTTTCCCATCCGAGATGCGCGTGGGCCGCCGCGCCCGCGGCGGCCCTGGCCGCTCGTGCGCGGTGCACTTCGGCGCAAGATGTGCGTGGCCCGTCGCGCGCGCGGCGGCCCATGACGCACTCGTGCGTTGTGCTTTTTCCATGCAAGGTGCGTGTGGGCCATCGCTCGCGCGGCGACCCTGGCCCCTCGCGCATCGCGCGCGTTCGTGCAGGAGGCGCGTGGGCCGCCGCGCGCGCGGCGGCCCTGGCACGCTCGCGCGTTGTGTTTGTCCATGCTAGGTGCGCGTGGGCCATCGCTCACGTGGTGGCCGGGGCCCCTCGCGCATGGTGTTTTCCCATGCAGGATGCGCGCGGCGGCCTTTGGCCCCGCGTGCACGGCGTTTGCCATGCAATATTCGCGTGGGCCATCGCGCGCGCGGCGGCCCTTGGCGCCTCGCACATTGCGCTTTTTCCATGCAAGATGCGCGTGGGCCGCCGCGGGCGCGGCGGCCCATGGCCCCTCGCGCGCGGTGTTTTCACATGCAAGATGCGCGTGTGCAGCGGCGCGCGCGGCGGCTCTCGCGCCTCGCGCATTGTTGTTTTCCCGCGCGAGATGCGCGCGGGCCGCCGCGCGCGCGGCGGCTCTTAAGCGGAAGGTCGCCATGCTGGCCTGCGAACTCAACTGAACCCGCAGCGGTTGCCGATTTGTGTTCCAACGTAACATGCGGTTTTTACGTTTTTGTCGATCGGCGTGGCCTACAATGCGCCGGCGCGCCCGCGCGCGCGCGGCGTGAACCCGCAGCCGTTGCCGATTGGATTTCCCATTTAACATGCGGTCTTTCCGTTTTGTTTTCGTCCATTGGTGCGGCCTACAATGCAATGCGCCGACGCGCGCGCTCGCGTGGCGTTTTCTGTTTTGTCCGCAATAGGACGAACGTGAACCCTTAGCGGTTGCCGATTTGATTTCCAACTTCACATGCGCTCTTTACGCTTTCGTCTATTGGTGCAGCCCACAATGCGCCGGCGTGCGCGCGTGGCGTTTACTGTATTGTCAGCAATAGGAACGTCGCCATGCTGGCCTGGGAACTAAAGTGAACCTTTAGCGCTTGCTGAGTTGAGTTCCAAGTTAACATTCGGTCTTTACGTTTTCGCATAGTGCAGCCGCAGTAGGAAAGTCGTTATGCTGGTCTGCGAACTAGAAGTGAACCCTTAGCGGTCGCCGACGGGATTTCCCACGTAACATGCGGTCTTTACGTTTTCGTTCATTGGTGCAGCCTACAATGCGCCGACGCGCGCGTTCGCGTGGCGGTTTCTGTGTTGCCCGCAATAGGAATGTCGCCGTGCTGGTCTGCGAACTAAAGCGAACCTTCTCCATGGCGGTTGCCGATTGGGTTTCCCAGTTGAAATGCGGTCTTTACGTTTTCTTCTATCGGTTCAGCCTACAATGTGCCGGCGCGCGCGGCGGTTTTTGCATTGTTCGCGATGGGAAAGTCCACGCGCGCGGGCACTGCACTGTGGGCATCCCCCTTTGGATGCCCAGAGTGCTCTCGCCCGAGTGCACTCTGGCAAGTGCATTCTGGTGAGGCGATGGGGCTGAGAGCGCACCCATTGTGAGTGCGCGCGCCGAGTGTCGGCGCTGAGCGTCGGCGCCGAGCGTGACTGCCGAGTGTCGGCGCCGAGTGTCGGTGCCGAGCGTCAGTGCCAAGCGTCGGCGACGATCGTCGTTGACGCGCCGAGTGTCGGCGCCGATCGTCGTTGACGCCGGGGGTCTCAAAGACCTGCCCCCCCGCGCGAATCCAACGCGGGAGTCTGCCCCTGGACGCGGAGTGCCAGGGCGCTCGTAGGGGCGTCCCCGGCGGTCCGGTTTGCCCCGCCTTCCTTTTGTTTCTTACTTGCGCATTGCAGCGCCGCGAGTACTTATTTTCTAATTGTCCACCCAGATTTTTTCAATTGGTTTTTGGACATTCCTCGCCTGCTGATGTCCGTCGATTCGACTTCTCCCAATTCGGCTGCCGAGCTCCACCGATCCGATCCACTCCGATCACCGATCCGGCTTCTCGATTCGATTCGGGGCTCCCTCCTGCGCAGGGGCGCGCAGAAAGTTCTCGCCTTCCGCCTCGGGAGCTCCTCCACGAGCCGTTGGGACCTGTCGTTTGCTCGGGCTTCCCCCATGTGTTCCGATCAGCTGCAGTCGATCCGCGCAGTATGGAGGGGCAACCTTCGCAAGGGTGCCCCTTGCATCCAACCTCGTTTGTTCGTTCCTTCATTCGCAAACCATGTCACACGCACATCGGTTCAGCAGGGGAAAAGTGTACGCCAAGGAGAAGCGGCAATAAGAGATCACCTACGCATCAATTGAGTCAATGGAAAACAACGTTGTTTAACAACTGCTTTCGAAGTTGGCTGCCCGTTAGGAGCACGTCCACATGGGATTCCAAGGCCCTTTGCATCCTCATCGCGCGTTCTTCTGAGACGGGTCGACTGTCGGTCGCCCGCGGGGGCGCAAGGAGTCGCGCGCCTGTAGCATCGTCGAAGGCGTCGTCGTCGCCGCCGTCGTCGTCGTCGTCGTCGTCGTCGTCGTCGTCGTCGTCGTCGTCGTCGTCGGGTCGGGGCTAAAGAGGACGAGCGCGCGCGCGGGGCAGCGCCTCCGAAATATCCGCATGGACCTATATGTGGCGTGCCGCGCCTCGCCCCCCCGGGAGGCGCCGAGCAGCGGCCGTCGGACCGAGGTGTTTAAATCGAGGTCGGTTCGGTGAGGCTTCCCCCCCCTTCCTCCTCATCCTCCTTCTCCTCCTCCTCCTCCTTCCTTTTTTTTCCTCCTCCTCCTCGCTCCTCCTCCTCCTCCTCCTCCTCCTCCCCCTCCCCAGTTTCCCCGCCCTTTCCAAGAGGAATCCGGTTGCCTGTCTCAGGGGGGGCTGGCCTCCTGGTTCGGCCTCCTCCTCCTTCTCCCGCCTCCTCCTCCTTTTCCTCCTCCTCCAAGTTCCTCCTGCTCCTCCTTCTCCTCCTCCTCCTCCTCTCTCCTCCTCCTCGCTCCTCACTCCTCCTCCTCCTGGCCTCCTTCCCTCCTCCTTCCTCCTCGGCTCCTCCTCCTCCTCCTCCTCCTCCTCCTCCTCCTTGCCTGCCTCCGTCCGCCTCCTCCTCCTCCTCTCCTCCTCGCTCTCCTCTCCTCCCCCTCCCCCTCCTCCTCCTCCTCCCCCTCCTCCTCCTCCTCCTCCTCCTCCTTCCCCCTCCTCTCCTCTTCCACAGTCTCTGATCCTCCTCCTCCTCATCCTCTCTCATCCTCATCCTCATCCCCTTCCTCGTCATCCTCCTTCTTTTCCTCCTCCTCCTCCTTCTCCTCCTCCTCCTTGTCCTCCACATCCTCCTCCTCCTTCTTCTCCTCCTCCTCCACCTCGTCCACCACCCCCAGTCAGAATCGTTTGCAGTCGAACCGAGGTATAAGATCGAGGTTGGTTCGGGGAGGGTCTCCGCGCGGGTTTCTTGGATTTGCGCTGCCCCCCCCCCTGGTGCGGCGGCGCCTCCAGCGCCGCCCAGGGAGGGGGATCCAGCGCGGATCCAAGACATCCGCGCGGAGCGCCAGAAGTTTATGTTTATGGAGTTTGTTATTATTATGTCTACTCTTGTTCTTCGTGTTAGTTGGATGTTCTTGTGAATCCTGGGGGGTACCCTGGAATGTTCTCTGTGTGTTTTGGCCGGCGGAGGGTCTCGTGCTCTTGAGGAATTCTGGTGTCCTGGGTCTGATTGAATGTAATGCGCAGGGCCTCGCCTGCGAGGAATCGATGAGTTGACATCTCGCCCTCTGCGGAGGCCGGCGGAAGGCTGGCGGCAGCAAGACGAGGGCAGTTTTGACTGCTGAAGTGGCGGAAGCCGGCAGAAGTAGCAGTTCCTCCCCCCCAAGACAATGTCGGCGTACCCAGGGTTTCCACCGTCGACCACCTAGGTCGCCACCAGCTGGGGTGCGGAGATGATCGCGCGTGTCGGTCTGGACTGCAGGGCTGGTTTTCTGGGGGGCGGCTTGGAGGCGCGAAGGCGATCGCGTCTCGCGCTTCGCGCGGCGCGAAGTTGGGTGACCTAGACCCCACCCCTTCGTTTGCTTTGCCCAGCATTTCCTGGCTAGGCGCAAGAGGGTTTGGGTCTAGGGGGCGGCCTTGTAACTTGTCGGTGGGCAGGGGGGATCTTTGATCTTAGAGCGCCCTCTTGCGAAGGCCTCCTCTGAGGTAAGATGGCCTCTGAGAAGCCCCGTGGCCCCTCAGAGGTTCTCGTAGACTCGTGCGCGCCTCCAGGTTTCTTCTGCAGCGCTGGTGGTGGTCTGGCCGCGCTTTTTCCTTCCGTCATTAGTCATGCAAGGCCGCGCGCGCAGGGCTGGCCCCAGCGTTCGCCCGAGACATGGTTCCTTGGGAAGGTGGCCACTGCTTGTTGGGCCAGCGTTGCCAGGCTTCCTCGTGGATTGGCTCTGGCTCGCTCTCCCCCCTTGTCTCTCGCGGCCTTCCCCGGGGTGGGACTTTCGCTCCAGGTGCTCTCGCGGTGCTCTTCGAGCTGTCCCAGGCCTTTCCCGGCTTGCTCCCTGCTCTTGCTTGCGCCGCGGCCGCGCGCGGGCGTTCTGACCCCGGGGGGCGACGCTCCGTTCGGGTGCCGCGCCACAGCGGGCGAGCACCCGCCCTCGGCCACCCTCCGCGCCCGCTCGGCTCCCGAGGCCCCTGCCAGGGGCCCTCCCCCGGGGCGCCCCCGCGGCCCCGGCCGGGTCCTGCCGCCAGATGGCGGCCGTGGACGCGGGCGGGCTGGAGCGGGGCCCACCTGCGGGCATGGTGCCCGTGCGGCTGCGGACCCCGTCGGGGAGGACGGCCGTGTACTACGCCGCGCCCGGCAGCGCCGCCGCGGCGGGGGCGGTGGCCGCCGGGCCGCAGGCGCAGGCGCTGCCGCTCGAGCAGCAGCTGCAGCAGCAGCTGCAGCAGCCGCAGCAGCCGCAGCAGCAGCAGCCGCAGCAGCAGCAGCAGCAGCAGCAGCCGCAGCAGCAGCAGCAGCTTCAGCTTCAGCAGCAGCGACTGCCGAGGCCGCCGCCGCCGCCTGGGCAGCCCGCGGCACAGGGCAGCGACGAGACTTCCGCCCCCGCTGAAGGTGCTGCTGGCAGTGGAGACGGCACGGGTTCACCCAGCAGTCAGGACAACGGTGCCGAGGCGGCCGCGCCAGAGCAACTCGCGTTTGGCGGCCCCGATCCCATCTGCGTTGGGGAGTACGCTTACCAGGACGGCGACCTGGCGCTTGTTGTGCACGTAGACCACACCGTGGATCCGGCGAGCTACGTCGTGCAGATGGTGCAGACGGGCCAGGAGGTGAGCACCCAGAGGCAATGGCTGATGTCCGTCCACGAGGCGCAGGCCATGCAGCAGGCGGCCGCCCAGCGGGCGCAGCAAGAGCAGCAGCTGCACCAGCGCCACCATCAACAGCGGCAGGAGCAGCAGCAGCAGCCGCAGCCGCAGCAGCAGCAGCTCGCGTTCGCCGACATGGTGCAGATGCAAAATGCGAAGCATCGGCAGCAGCTGCAGCCGGAGCTGGAGCAGCAGCCCGAGGAGCAACTGGAGCATCAGTCGCAGCAGCAGCCGCAGCATCAAATGGAGCAGCAGCTGGAGCAACTGGAGCAGCAGCCGCGACAGCAGTGGCAGCCAGAGCAGCAGTACCAGATGTTCCAGCAGCAGTTTCAGCAGCAGGCGCTGCTGCAGCAGGAGCTCCTCCAGCAGCAGCACCACCACCAGCAGATGCTGCAGCTGCAGCAGCAGCCGCATCAGCAGCCGCAGCTGCTGCAGAGCCCACAGGGCCTGCAGCCGAGCATGCGGCCGGGCGTGCAGCACCTGGCGGCCCACCCCGCGGACGGCCTCCCGGCGCAGCCGCGCGCGCCCTGGCACACCCCGGCGCCCGCGCCCTCGCTCGCGCCGTGCTCCTCCATGTGCTACGCGCCGGCCCCGCACGCCCACTTTCCCCACGGCCGCGCGGACCCGCCCCGCCAGGCGCCAGACAGGCCCGGGGTGGATGGGCTGGAGCAGGAGGCCACATGCGAGCCCTGCCCCTACCCCCCACGATTTCTGAGGGGGAGGGTGGGGTTCACTTCGTTCGGGAGCTCCCGAGCTTTGTGAACCCCACCCTTCCCCTCAGACATCTTGGGGGGTAGGGGTAGGGTTCGCATGTGGCCCCCGCTGGAGGTGGAGGTGGAGGTAGACGTGGAGGAACGAAGGGAGGCAGAGGCTAGACTCTGGCCTCGGCCTCCCTTCGCGCCCCTGGCCGCCAGAGGCAGCGGCAGGGGCGCAGGGGTGGAGGGTGCAGGGGCCGGCGCAGGTGGAGGTGGTGGTGGACGCGGGGGAAGGGGCGGCGGCAGGGCCAGAGGTGGAAGTCGGGAGGGAAAACAAAACAGCACAGACACAATGAATCGTCGATATTCCCCAGAAAAAAAACATGGGAAACTATGGGAAGTGGGGGGGGGGGGGACAGAAGCCCAGGAAATGTGCGAAACTATGGGGGATCCTGCTATTTGTGTCTATTTATTTGTGTGTCCTGGGGCCCCTTCAGGAAGAGCGGGCGGGGGGCGGAAACGAGGCGGTGGCCGAGGCGGAGGCAGAGGGGGAAGGGCTGACAGCAGGCCCGAGAACCACGCGCTGAGGGAGCTCAGCGAGCTGCTGGACAGGGCAGAAGCAGGAGAGCGGCCGGCCGGCGGACGGCGACCCTGCCTGGGGGCGGAGCCGACCCGTTTTCTCGCCTTCCCGCTCCCCTTTTCCTCCCCATTCTTCTGCCCCCATCCACCATTCGAGCCACCAGGAATAGTCAGACTTCCGAGACTGTGGGAAACCGACGTATCCGACTTGGGGATCCCCATTGACGCATCTGTGACCTGTTGCTTTCCCCGGTGAGCGTGTGAGCAAGAGCGAAGCTGAGTGCCCGAGCGTGAACGAAGCTAAATGTGAGTGAGTCTGAGCGTGAGTGAATGGCTGCGCGCAGGAATATGATCATACTTGTTTTTGATGCGTCTGTCTCAGATTGGGTATGTCCATGAGGAAGTCTTACAGTGGAGGCCCATGCCAAGAAACACCCTGCTTGCCTCCAGGGTGCCCTGGGTTTCTTGAGTTTCGATGGTTTGCTGCGGAAGGCTTGACGTTCCCACACCAAAAGGTCAGCGGACGCCCTGGGGTCTCAGGGTTGGGTTTCTTGTGGAAGGTTTCTTGTGGTCGGGCCTCCACTGTAGGGGAAGGGGTCAAGACACGCTCCCCGCCCGTAAGCATTCTCGCTCACTCCCACGCGCCCTCCGAACACAGAAAGAGCACCCAAGCCCCAGCGTTCTCAGAGGTCGTCTATGAGTGGACAGCTTCTGGGAACCAAAAACAGACCCCACGTGCGCGATACGGGGGCGAGGTGCACCACGCGTGCTAGGCCCGCCACGTGCGCCAGGTGAACCAGGGAGGAGGAGGAGGAGGAGGAGGGGGAGGGGGAGCCATTTTGGCTCAAGGAGGATCAAGTCGCGCGCAGCCGCTGCCCGGCCGCCTCCCTCCTCACCTTCGTCCCGCGCCTTGCACCCCCCCTCGCCGCGCGATCGCCTGGGCCCCTGCGGCTGCGGCGGCGCGGGCTGGCGGCGGCTGCACTGCAGGGCCTCTGTCCGCTGAGCGGGGTGGCGCCCCCCGGCTCGGCAACCGCTTTGAGCGGTATATAAAGCTGACATTTGCTGGATATATTTGTTTATTATTGTTGTTCATCCGCGTCGTCGGAGGAGATGGAATGGACGAAAGTGGAGAGATGTCGCCGTCCGCCCCGCGGCCGCGGCGACACCGAGCTCGCGACGCAGATCCTGCGCAGCCTGTTCAGCGGCCGGGGCGGGCGGGGCGCCAGCGCTGGCACGGAAGGAGGTGCTGGGAGACAGCCCCCGCGCCGCGCCGAATGGAGGTGCCGGTGCGGCGCCTCCAATTTCGAGGAACGCGGCAGCTGCCGCCGCTGCGGGACGCTCCGGGCAGGAGCTCCCGCCAGCTGCCCCCCGCCCGCTCCCACGCCAGGGAACGCCGCCGGCGGGCGCGCCGGGTGGCCGCCACTCCCCGGAGCGGAGCACCGCTCGCGCGAGCAGGCCCCTGGGGAGGGCGCGCGCGACCGCCCGGCGGCGCCGGTGCCCTCCGCGCGGCCGCCCGCTCCCGAGGACGCGGCGGCAGCAGCTGCGGAGCAGGCGGCTGCCCTGGAGGCCTCTGCGGACCAGCTCGACAGCGCTCGCCTCGGGCCGGAGGCCGCGCAGCTGCGCCGGAAGGCCGCCGAGCTGCGCAAGCGCGCGGCCGCTCCGGCGCCGGGGCGGCGCCTGGATCTCCTGGAGGCTTACGTGCACAGGGCCGCCACCCGGGCCTCCAAGGCGGCGGCGGCTGTCGAGGCCGCGGAGGTCTCTTTGGCCGAGGCCCGCAGCACCGCGGAGGCGCTCCAAGCGGAGCTGGAGGAGGGGCGAGCCAAGCTCGCGCAGCTGCGCGCCGAGCTGCAGGCGGAGCCGGCGGACGAGGCTTGGGAGCGGCATGCGCGGGCGTTGCTGCAGGCCTTGAACACCCCAGCGGTGCTGGACCCCGTGACGGGCAGGCCCCCGGAGAGCATTGCAGCCCCGATGGCTGCGCTCTACACCTTCCTCGGGGACACGGCGGCCCGTGTTCCCGCAGCCCGGCTCGACGAGGCGATCGAGGAGGAGCCCAAGGAGCACCGCCTAGATGCCGGCGCCGCGCTGGAGGAGGAGGAGGACGACGACGACGAGATGAGCGAGGAGGAGCTCATGGACAAGCTGGACGAGGCTGCCGAGGACAACGGGGCCCTCCTCGAGGTGGCCCGGCGCCTGCAGCGGACCCGGAAGCTCGGCCTCAAGCAGGCCGGGAAGGGCCGGCGGAAGTAATCGGCCCAGGTCTCGGGCTTCCGCGTGGCCCCAAGCGCCTGCGGCCGCCGCAGCCGCTGGGAGGCGGAGATGGCCGGCGGCGGAGCCGCTGGGAGACGCAGATTGCCGGCGGCAGGGCCGCTGAGAAGCAGAGATTGCCGGCGGCGGAGTCGCCCTGGCGCCCGATCACATGGCAGTGTGGGTGGGCAGGGATTCGGGTCGGCGAGGCGCAGCACCCAGGCCCCCTTTGCCCCAACTGCGCTGGGAGCACGCGGGCTGCCCGAGCGGAGCACGGCGAGCGCTGCTGGCAATGCGATCGGCCCGGCGCCGGCGGCTGGTTGCAGGCTTGCGAGTCCTGCCATGCACGTGTGTGCCGGGAGTGCGCGGCGGACACTCCGGCGACCGCACCGGCCTCGGACACCGCCGCGGCGGCGGCAGCAGCACCGGCAGGCGCGGGCGCACCAGCAGCGGGCCCCGCCCTCGGCCCACCCGCGCCGCCCTTGCCTGGAGGCGCGCCCGCGGCTGCCGCCGCCCCGGCCGCGGCCTTGCACCCGGCGCCGCCGCCGCAACCGCTCCAAGACATGGATGCGGATTGCTGGGCGGCCCTGGACGGCATCGACCTCCTGGACGAGCTCGCGCAGGACTGCCCCACGCTCCGGTTCGTCCCCGGAGGGGCCCGGGCGTCGGCCGCGCAGGCCACCGAAGCGGTCTGCCGAGCGGTGCTGCGCTCGGCGCCTGGCACGGTGGCGGAGAGCAGGGCGTGGAAACTTCTCCTGCTCAGGGAGCGGCTGCTCTTCGCCGCGCCGATCCGCCGCAACACAGGCCGGCGGCGCCAGCCAGACAGCGAGCCCCCCGAGAGGGCGCGCCTGGTCCGGCAGCGGTGCTCCCAGCTCCTGCACGGCGCCTGGCAGGAGCTCCTCGAGGAGGCACGGGGGGCCGGCCGAAGCTTGGCTCGGGCTCGGCGGGAAGCAGGAAGGGACGGCGCCAACGACAAGGGCCGCCTTGCCGACCAGGTGGTGCGCCAGGCCCTTGCTGAAGAGTACTCGCGGGCAGCGGCGCTCCTGGCGAGCCCCGGCCTGGCGCCGCCCACAGAGGAGACTGCGACGAAGCTACAGGAGTTGCTTGCCCCCCGCGGAGCGCAGGCGCTAGCCCGAGACCCCCGCCCTGGGCCAGGGGCGGCCGCTTCGCCCCTCTCACACACGGAGCTCAGGCGGGCCCTCCGGCGGAGCCCCAAGGGCAGCGGCGCCGCGGTCGGCGGCGCCCGCTTCGAGCACTGGCGGGTGGTACTCGCCGAGCCCACTGCGCTCGAGGCCTTCTGCGAGGTTTGCGACCGCCTCGCCACTGCTGACCTGCCAGAGAGCGCCGCCGAGGCCTTGGCCCTTTCGAGACTGACGCCGCTCCGCAAGCCAGACAATGGGGTGCGCCCGATAGCGGCCCCTAGCATCCTCCGCCGGCTGGTGGGGCGGGCCCTGGTGACGCCGCTGAAGAGGGACCTCGCGACAGCTTTGGGCAGGCGGGAATTCGCGATTGGGACGAAGGCGGGGACCGAGCTGCTCGCCCACACGGTTCGGGCGCTTTCAGAAAGCAACCCCGATCTGGTGCTGACGGCGCTGGACGCGAAGAACGCCTACTGCACCGCGAACAGGGCCGACTGCTTGGCGGAGCTGGCAGACGCGGCCCCGGAGCTGCTCCCCCTCGCGAAGCTCTTCTGCCAGCGGCGCTCCCAGTACTACTTCTGGGACAGCAGCGGGGCGTGCCACCGGCTCCGCTCCACTGACGGGGTGGACCAGGGGGACCCCCTGGCGCCGCTGCTGTTCGCTTGCGGCATGCGCCCGCGCCTGCAGGCGCTGGAGGACGCGCTGCGCGCGGAGGCGACAGCCCGGGGGCTGCGGGCCGACGACATCCGTGTCTTGGCCTACCTGGACGACGTGATCGTTCTCACGCCTCCCGAGCTGGCCGCAGCCGTCACTCCGGCCGCGCAAGACGCCCTGGGCGCTTTCGGCCTTGAGCTTCAGCCGCACAAGACGCAGGCCTGGTCACCGCGCTCGCCGTGTCCGGCCGGGCTCGAAGCGCAGTGGCGCCCGCGCGGCCTCACGCTGGTGGGAGTCCCGCTGGGTGAGCCGCTGCCGCCGGGGAACCTGCCGGACGCGACAGACGGGCGCCGCCTGGACCTGGGGGCGCCTGCCTACGCCGCCGAACGCTGCGCTGAGACGGCGGCGCGCGCGGCGACGCTGCTGGAGAGGCTGGCGGAGCTGCCCGGGCTGGCCTCGCCGCACCTGCCGGCGGCACAAGCGGCGGGGCTCCTCCTGCGACACTGCGGCACGGGGAAGCTGGTGCACCTGCTCCGCACGAACCCGCCGGCCGCCGCGCGGGCCGCCGCCGCCGCCTACGACGCGGCCGCGCTGGAGGCCTACCAGGAACTCGCGCGCCTGGACCCCCTGACGGCGGAGCAGGGCGCCCACTGCCGGCTGCCGCTGCGACTCGGAGGGCGCGGCTTTCGGAGCCAGGAAGCGCTCGCCCCCGCGGCCTGGGTGGGCTCCTGGGCCCAGAGCTTGCCGGGCGTCCTGGAGAGGAGCGGCCTGCCCGCCCTGGCCGACCTGGGCGCCTCTACCCTGCCGCTGGCCGAGGCCTGCCGGGAGGCGCTGGCCTCGCTGCCGGGGCCGCCCGCCGACGACGAGGAGGGCGCCGCGCCGCTGCCGCCCTGGCGGGAGCTCGCCCAGGCTCCTCGGGAGAAAACCCAGAAACTGCTCACGCGTAGGCTAGACAAAAGGAACTACAACGCCTTGCTGAGCACTCTGGGCCCCGAGGACCGGGCGCGACTCCGCTCCTGCGGCGGCGCGCACGCAGCCGGCTGGCAGCTGGCGAACGCCGGGCCCTACCAGCGCCTCGAGGACGACGCCTACCTCAGCACGGCGCGGGCGCTGCTGGGGCAGGACCTCGCGCCGCCGAACAGCCGCTGCTGGAACAGGCTGCGGACGGGCGCGCGGGCCGGGCAGCCCTGCGGCCAGCCCCTCTGCTGCAAGGCGCGCCACGCCTTCCGGTGCGCCTGCGGCGGGGGCACAAAGGCGCGCAGCCGCGACGTCGAAGACGTCTGGGAGCGCATTCACGCTGAGTGCGGCTTCCAGACGGCGCGCCAGGTGCACGTCCCGGCTTGGGACCGCTGGCGCTGGGCTTGCCCGGCGCCCGGCTGCACGGCGCGCGGCTGGCGCTGGGACGCCTCGCCGCCGGGGCCCTGCAGGGCTTGCGGGGCTGCGCTCGAGACGCGCCGCGAGGAGGCCTTGCTGGACCTGGACGCCCAGCGCGCTGGCTGCCCGCGGCTGCTGGTGGACGTGACTGTCCGCTACAGCGTCCCGGGCGAGGGGCGCGCCCTGGCCGCCGCGGCGGGCGCCGACGGCGCCGTGGCCCGGGAGGGCGAGGGGGACAAGCGGGCGCGCTACCCGGCCGGCCGCGCGCCCTGGAGGGTGCTGCCGCTGGCGCTGGAGACAGCGGGGCGCCACGGGCCGGCCGCCCTGAAGCACCTGCGGTGGCTGGCCCGCAGCCGCGCGCAGCTGCTGGGCGACGGCCCCGAAGCCGACGCGGCGGCCAGCGCCCTCGCCGCGCGCTGGGGCGCGGAGCTGAGTGTCGCCCTGCACCGCGCAACGGCACGCCAGCTCCAGACAGCGCTGGGCGAGGACCGGGCAGGCGGGGCGGCGGCGCTCCGGGCGGCGGGGGCCGCCTAGCTGGCCGGCGGCACGACGCGACGCACTACCAGTTCGTCGCGTTCTCGGCCAAGTCCATAGTGTCGGGGGCGGCTGCCGGGCGGCGGAACAGACCCGCGCTTCCGCCGCAGGAGGAGGAGGAGGAGGAGGAGGAGGAGGAGGAGGAGGAGGAGGAGGAGGAGGAGGAGGAGGAGGAGGAGGAGGAGGAGGAGGAGGGGGAGGGGGGAGGGGGAGAGGGGGAGGAGGAGGAGGAGGAGGAGGAGGAGGAGGAGGAGGAGGAGGAGGAGGAGGAATGGAGGAATGGAGGAGGAGGAGGAATGGAGGAATGGAGGAATGGAGGAAGGAATGGAGGAGGACTGCAGGAATGGAGGAATGGAGGATGGAGGAATGGAGGAATGGGAGGAAATGGAGGAATGGAGGACTGGAGGACTGGAGGAATGGAGGAATGGAGGAACGGAGGAATTGGGAGGAATGGAGGAATGGAGGAATGGAGGATGGAGGAGAGAGGAGAGGAGGCGGAGGAGGAGGAGGAGGAGGAGGAGGAGGAGGAGGAGGAGGAGGAGGGGAGGGGGAGGGGGGAGGGGGAGGGGAGGGGGAGGGGGAGGGAGGGGAGGAGGAGGAGGGAGGAGGAGGAGGAGGAGGAGGAGGAGGAGGAGGAGGAGGAGGAGGAGAGAGGGAGGAGAAGGAGGAGGAGGAGGAGGAGGAGGAGGAGGGAGACTGGCCGGGGGGGAGTTTCGGGTTCGATGTTCCAGGTTTTCGGGTGTATTCGCCGGTTCTCGGTGGTCCTCCGGCCTCGGGATGCGTCCCAGGGGCTGCGCCTCGCCGAGAGCGTTCCAGGGTTGCCTGGGTCGTCGCGAACGGCCGCTGGAGGCCCGATTTATGAACCGAAAACCACCAGGTGCGGGGGTGCCGTTCTCGCCGGCAGACTGCCCTCTGCTGCGAGTGGGAGTGCCGGTCTCGGTCCTGTGGCGTGGCGTCGTCGTCGGCTCCTGGAGTTCTCCTGCCTCGGGAGGCGTTCGGGCAGCTTCGCCTCGCCGAGGGCCTTCAGGAGGTGCCTGGTTCGTCCCGAAGGGCCGCCAGAGAGTCGTGGTGCGACCCGGACACCGACTGAGTGGCCCTTCGCCGGGGTGGCTTTTGGTGCGGGCCCACACGGGGCAGAAGGGGCATCCCTTTCGAGGGGTCGAGGAGTTCATACCCTTTTCTCGCAAGAAGGCTGGCGAAAGTATAAGACTGGAGCGGCTCCGTCGGCGGAGGGCAAGCAGAAGCCAACTGGAATGAGAGTTCGCTCCCAAAGAGATG